ATTTTGTGTACATCATTCACAATGATTTCTGCTTTCCTTTTCATTTTTGGTGATAACTTCAATCTCGGATTTATATTTTTTCGACATCGGCCTCTAGTTTCATAACTTCAAACTTTGAACAATTCGAGATCAATATCAATCACGAATATAATCAGGTTTTTTGGGTCATATGAGATAACGTCTAAATTCTGAGTTCGGTCAGAATTTCTTCATAAAAACTGAGACTTTGTTCTCATTCTAGTGAAGATTGATGAGTAAAGACGATAACGATATCATTATCATTATTTTGATGGAATAGCATTACTGCTAATTTTCTCTTTACTTGGAAACAAATTTTACAAACAAATTTTAAAAAATGTCGTTCAAAGTAAGAGCAATGATTTTTTGTGGGTTTTGTAAAATTACGTCCGAGTTCAGACAAAATAACTTTATGAAAAGTAAAGCTTCAGTCTCATACAAGTAAAAGAAGAGAATCAACATAGATGTACTTCTGTTGTATGTAATGTGGATAAGTAAAGACGATAATTGTTATTGATCATTATTATTATTGCGATCAAATAGAATGTACGAGTTTTCACAAAAATTGAAATAGTATTGTCCTCAGTTATTTTTGAAATCACTTGAACCCCAGAGAATACAACACGATTCTAACTTGGAAATGATACTATCGAGAAACCGTTTTTTCCACTAATTATGCATAGGCTAACGTTTTGATTGACAGGTTTTTTCGTTACTTTTCTTAACCTGCTGTGTATAACAATAGAAAAAAAAGAAAAAAAAACAATAGAAAAAAAAGAGAATCAATTCAGATGTACTTTTCTGTTGTATGTTATATCGATAAATTATGCATAGGCCAATGTTTTGATTGGTCACTTTTTTTCGTTACTTTTCTTAACGTGCTGGGTATAAGTGTTAATTTGGCAAAAGTATTTATTTTCGATGCAGATTGACGGCATTTTCACATCAGCCGGTTTGATCATCACACTGAAGACTTCAGTAATCAGAATAACAATCTTGAGGAAGTGATTTAGATATGTGGAGTTCGGTGAGGTTGTGCCAGTTGAAACTTGGCTCCTGGAAGAAAGCACTTTTCTTTAGTGTGTGATCTTTCAAGTTTCTGTATGCGTTTTGAAAATTGATTGGGCGAACCTAGGAGTGATCGACAACTACATTATATAACTCCGATGTCAAAAAGTTGATTATTCGAGTGGATCTTGGTGCTGTAAAATTAAAGGAAAACAAAAAATTTTAAAATATCATTTTGGAAACAATGGCGGAACAATTATTGGCATGAATAATGCGTTATTTGGCAATGAAACTAGGCCTAGATAAACTAAATAGTGTTTGGAGTCAATAATAATATGTAAAACAATTTCCGAGTGTTTTCATTACAATCACATACATTTGCTGATTCATTTACGGGTTCTAAAGATAACTTTTGATTATTTTGGTCTAGTTTCAAATCTTGTCGAAAAACATGCATTGACACTTTTTCGATGATCCATTGGATTTACCTATTGATCCATTTGAAACGTTTCCATGTTTCTGTTGGTTGAAGCAACCCATCAAAAATTTTCTGTTGCATTCAAGAACTCGCCTCCTTTGTCTTCTGATACTTGTCATTTGTCACTTCAGTTCTCAGTCAGTTGTCAGTTGAGTACTTTTTACATTTAATTTTATTTTATAGTTTTATTCCAAAATGGATTATAACAAAGACATAGAAATCAGATATAACAAAAATGGTTCGTAAGAAAGCTTTTATCTGATGTGAAAAACGCGAGAATGCTGCACAAAATCATGCGAGCCATTTTTCGTAGACTTTGGGGAGTTTTCAGAAACAGCCCCTGCCAACGCAAAATACACACAAAAAATTACCACAGAACCATCACAGGCGACAAAATAGTCGACAATCAAGAAAGCACTCTCACTGGACGCATGCTTGCTTATTTCAACAGTGAAAACACAACAGGTCAGACTCGCACAGAAAAGAACTTGAGGAAAGTGGTCTCTTCGATAAGAAGTCTAGGTAATAATAACTGTGCCTTCAATATGGAAAATGCTCAATTTTTAAAAAGGGTGATATAAGTAAGATAAAAAATGTCGGACCAATTTCTATTTTTAACAACTTTTGTAAAGTGTTTAGATGCTTTTAGAAGAGTAAAATTATTGTCATGTAAGCAATATTATTAGCAATTGAATAGATTGATTCAATAAAGTGTATTAGTTTTAAAAGTATTTGCCCCAATTAACACGGATTTATGAAAGTACGTTCAACTGTCACTAATCATGTAACAGCAATGCATTATATTTTCAATGGCATTGGCCACTGGTCTCAAACTGATATAATCTATTCTGACCTTTTTAAAGCCTTCGACAGACTTGAACATCATATGAACATATATTGTTCAATAAGCTTTCAGCTTTTCATTTATTCATTGATTTGATCGATGACGGCCATTCTGGCCACCCTGTATATGTACTCATGTTTTGTGATTAGTTCTAATTCAGCAGGATTGCTTCAGATGAATTAGTGTGTTGGTTTTTGACATTTTCATCTTCTGCTCTTTTTTTGTGGAGTACCATTTTTCTTCTGAATGAAAATGTTTTCTTTCCTTTTAGGTATTCGTCAAAATGTACCCGAAAGAGAGAAATACCTGAAGTTGCTGAATACTTTAGACGACGAATGCTCCGAAAAGATCAAGAAGCTGGAATCTGCACAGATTTTTGAAATATTGTATGAATATATGAAAGTGATACCGAACAGGATCATAGATTACAGATTCTACAATTCAGCTGTAAGCGAGTTGGTCACCAGAATTGATACTCTGGGAAGGAAAGAGATTGTGCAGCTCATTTTCTACATCGCTCTTAAAAAGAAACAAGCAGATCATCATTTGTTAAGGAAGTGCATCAATTCATTAGGTGATGCTATCAAGAGTTTATCTCCTGAGGATCTTTGCGTTATTTGCAACGCTACTTACAAAACTTCAACCGTAATCAACAACCATGATTTCCTCAACAAAGTTCTTTCAAGCTTGAATGATAACCTGTATATTTTCCAAGATCCTCCTCTCCTCATAACTCTTATAAAAACGGTCAGGCAAAATCGTTACCAAACCGAAGATTTGCTAGCCACCGTCACGTGCGCTATTTTCTTCAATAAAAACATAGAACGCTACTCGTTTGTTGCTCTGTGTCATATGCTGGCGCTGTATTCGGACTTCCTCTACTTTGACGAAAACATCGTAGAAGTTTTCACGGAAAGGTGCATCTTGCTTTTGAAGGAGAACAAATTCACTGAGATGGCCAAGTACACGCCTGACATTCCTAGAATGAAAGATATCAAGAGGCTGCTGTGGAGTTTGAGTAATTTGAATGCAAAGTATCTCAAAGAGAGCGACATCGAAAATGTGATAGTTCCTAATATTTTAAGCAGAATGGAGGCAGGCGAGTTGAAAAATGATCGTGCCACTCTAATAGAAATGGTGTTGTATTTGTGGATGTTGAACTACCGAGCTTACGAGCTGATGCCTTTTGCTTTGACAGAGGAAAACATTGCTTTTATTAAAGGTGAGATAGTCGACAGGTTTCACACATTTGTTTTGATTGAAATTTTTTTGGCAGAAAGAAATAAGTTTATTGCCCTAAGAAAACGAAGTCCTTTTGACACCAAACTTAACAAAATAATATTAAGTATGCCTGATGGCAATTGATTAATATAGTTAACATTAATTTGACATTAACCCTGGTGGCTTATCCAAGAAGGTACTGATTTGAACTGAAGGGGTTATATTTTTAGGAGTGATTAATTTTTGGGAAAGAAAGTTTTTGGCTTTCTACTACTCCATCTTGATACAAAAAAAATGTGGGAATCGTCCAAAGAAAGGACGCATACCTGATGACTCAATTTTATCGAATGAATCTATCAGCTCGAAATTCACTCAACTTACACTTATACAATAAGAGTTAAGCACTCACTATTGAGGCACTGTTTTTACTTCATCGAAGAGTATTTGAATTTTTTTTTCATTGTTCTTCTTGTTTGTCAGTTTGACTTGTCACTATTTTACATTTTGTAGTTGATGCTCTTGCAACTAAAGCGTCCTACAATCTTGATGAATATAACAATGTTGAATTGTTGCTTTTCTTTTATTCTTTGAAATGTTATATATACCATATTTTTTTAACAAGCTTTGTCAATAAGATTGTATTTTCTTGGACAATAAAGTATATGTCTATTCAAACTTATGTCATAAGAAAAGGGGCCTAGCACGGTACTTTGCGGTGCACCATATTTAATACAGTGAAATATTATTCTACCCGTTTGTGTACTACTACTCTGAAGTAATAGCGATGAAGCTTCACCAGCAGTATCTGATGAGAAATCACAGAATTTTGCTGCTACAGCCTTAGCACTGTTGTCATCTTTATACACTTATCCGTGTTAGGAATCACACGATAAAAGGTAAGACCTCGTTAGTCCTTAGCTCGCACAAGTTTCTCAACTTCTGAGAGTTGTCGGTCGTATGGGGGCGACAGCTGATTAACGGAAAAACAGATTTTTTTTTATATGTAGAAATGAGAAGATTGCATCAGCAGTATTTTTGTTCTCTTGAAACAAAAATTGATTTTGTGAAATAATAATAATAATCTCTTTATTTACTCAGATTGATTTGTATAACGACAGGAGCAGAAGTACAAATAAAAAAGAGGAAAACGTCAATGTACAATATTGAAAAGAAATAAAACTAATTTTTCAGCCACTGACTCTCCAACGAAACTCAGACTGAACCTCCTCCTGGCTTGTATGTTTTATGAAGATCGCGGCATGTTCAGAGAATTCAACATTCAACCAGAATCCGATATGCCCTACGATCAGAGTCGCCAATTGCGAAAACGACCAGTGTTGCAAAGGATCTTCGACAATACCAAACACATAAAATTTAGAACAGCTATCAACAGGTGGGTAATTATCATTTGAAGATGGTACTTCTGCTTTTACCGCTGCTCGTAGGTATGAGATGTCGTGTCAAATTCCCGGATTGAATATCCTGGGAATAACAGCTTACAACAAAAGCATATACAAAGTGTTGCATATGGAGGTTATGGACGAGTATACGAGACTAAAGAATGTGAAGGAAATTATACCTTCCGGACTCATGGAGCTGAAATTGAGGCTTTTGGAGAAGCAGAACGAAGGAATACTGTTGGTGAGTTGACTTGAATATGAAGTTACTGTCGGTAGATGAATAATTTCTTTTTAGATTTATAGCGAAGAAGTTAAGTCTATGGACGACGAAGAACTGCATCGATATTTATTGGAAGAAATTGTCCTTGTATGCTAAGATTCATTTTTCTGAATGTGATCATTCTTTTAAGTATTTTACTTCACTTTGTAAGAACTTGGTTTTAAGCTTTGAAAGTAACAAATACAACTGTGACGACAAAGTGACCAGCTCAGATCAATAATTCCACTTAATTTGTAATTACATATGAACTGCTGTTCAGTATTTGCCAAAAATTAAGTATAAGAAACTTAAATGTACGAAAAAAAGGGTATTAAAAAGTACAAATTGATTGAATCCGCCTTTTTTTATGCCTCAAAAACATAACTATAAAATTTTTTTCTTGTACTTTGTTCGTAAATATCACACGACATAGTGGTTTGACAAGTCATTCACTACAACTAATCCCAAATCTAAATAAAAATATTTTTTAATGTATTGTGAGTTTTCAGTTTTGCTTTAAACATGGCTATTGGAGCTTCTTCGATAAGTCTGGTAGAGTGTTGAATAATCTGATAACACAAAATGGTTTAGACTTTCACGGCTGAGGTTTTCAGTGTCATTGCTCTTTGAGTTTGAAAGCCGTGGATTTTTGGAACTTCTACCTGACGTTTCGCTGGCGCGAGTGGCTAGCTTCTTCAGAGGTTTAACCATCATGGCTTGCTGTCCGATGCAAGCCATGGCTTGCAGCTTTCAGTCTGGGTTATACCGGCCAGAGGTAACATCGGCTAGGAAAAGTAACAAGTTTGCAATTTTCATGACAACACCATATACACTTATTACATATCTTTATTATTTCTTTATCAAGTATGCCCGTAGGTCAACAGAATATTTCACATGGGGAAGGTTTCCCAGTAAGCACACCAGGAATATTGTATGCATCTTGGTTCTTATTTTTCTGGACAAAGTCCAGGTTTGAGTGTTGACCCATTGTCTCAATATTCAGAGATGATTGTATCATTGATAGTGTATGCCACGACATGCTTCTAAATAAGCTGGAAAAATACGGAATATGAGGTTTAGCATTGAAATTGTTGAAATATTTCCTAACTGGTAGAAAACAATATATTATTCATAACAACTTAACATCTAACATTCAAAAAATTCATCATGGAGTTCCCCAAGGATCNGGAACTTACCCAGGCATAAAATATCATCTTTCACGGTGCAGTTGGTGATGTAAAGTGCCCTTGGAGCTGCGACAGAGTTGCAGTTTGCTAAAAGATTACAGCTGTGCTCCCAGTGATCGGTCTGATAGCAATACCTGCAGATGAAAGTCCTTTCGAACTGTGTGGGGCCCTGGAATAGAATATATATGAAGTTTGCTTAGTCGTGTGGACTCTTAGTAATATTATGCAAAAAATCATACCTACTCGGCAATTTACTTGCGCTGCTACTCGACATGTGGTGTTCACAAGGGCACCATAGCGACATTTATTACTCAATTCACACTTTATACACGGTTCGTTCAGATCTTCACACAGGGTGTTCGATGGGCATCGAAGAATCAAGTCACCCTGTAATAACAAAACATTTTTCATATGAAATTCCAAGAAAATATTTCATAATAACCCAATACCAACCACAGTCATTTTCTCGCGATCAACTTTTTCCAAAGTGACATTTTTGTTCTCGAACATTTCGGGCTGAGAGAATTCTTTATCGTCTAAAAAAGTTTGGATGGGCATATCAATGTTAATTTCTAACGAGTATATTAGAAATAAACTTCATTAATAATTGATTATTCCAGTGATTATACGGAGACATTTTGAAAGAAAAAGTGATGGTTTTATCCAAAAGAGAAATAATTATACTATTAATGGAACAAAACATATATATGGTAGCTGTGTGAGATAGAGAAGTTCATCGTCCAGATACGACGTCTATCGGATATATGAGAACTAAGCCAGAAGGTAAAATAAAATCAAAGTCCTGCCAGCTGTTCTTTGTTTTCTTGTGCTTACCGTTAGCTAAAGTAATTTATTTTATTTATTTTTCAGTTACTCTTGTAACAATAATGCCACATAGTCACAATTAAACCACTCAAAACAGCTTATCCCAAAACAATAAATATAATATGTTTCCTATTTCACATTCAGTTATTACAATCAGATATTCTTAGTTTGAATATCATCATCGGTAGAATTTTGTATTAGACATTACCATAGACCATCATTTTCAGATTTAAGCACTACTTTTCTTCAACTCCTGAAGACGCCAAATTGTTTGGTGAAACAGGCGTGGAAAAGAGTATTGCATTGCATTGAGTATTGCAATTGAACTGAAATCCCTGTTGAGTTCATAGAAAATACACATGCATTTTTACTGAAAAGTTGACAAGTTCTGAGATTAATTTTCATTTTTGTTTTGATTTCGAATTTTGGGGAACTGCACATTTACATATCTTCTAGAACTAATTAAAATACTGTCCAACCGAAGAATACGTTTTAGATTGTCATATGGAAAAAATATCACAATAGACAATTGTAACAACAAATATTTGAATATTTGTGAATTATAAAACCTAGCTGTTCACTACTCCGTGTAGATGTTATAATATATAACCTCAATAGATTTTGGATTAACGACTGAAGGTGATATGTGGGAGTGGACTTTCAAAAGCTCACTGAAAATCCATTTACTGGGTTGTGAATAAATTTTTTTCAATTTCAATCTTGACCTTGGCTGTATGCTTCCAACTAAAAGGCCAATCCTTGATTTTGGCTCGGCTAACTTCACCGCATATGAATAAACAAGTAGTTTCAAAATCGATTGCTAGATGACTCTCCGTTATGCGGATGAAAATTATGACGTTTTGAACCGATGTCCTTTAAAAAACTGATAATACAATTTCTAATTCGTCCCCAGAACAATTACCATCAATTAAACCGAAATGTTTCTGGGTCGTACTTGAATGAATTTTCCGTTGTTTGACCTTGCGGTTAAAAGTAAAGTGAAACTTGGAGAGTGTACTGTAAATGAAGAGGTGAAATTAGAGCATTTTAAATATTCTGATGAGGTCTGAATTACACCTGCAACATTAGCAATAGCCTCTCCGTATTTGACGTTGAATTATTTCCGTCCGTTAAGTTCCATCTCGACCCCCTATGATTTACATAATAACTTCTTAATAAATCAAAAGTTGCTATTATCCTATTGAATAAATTGAAAAAAGTGCGATTATCAAATGGCTAGTTTCACGGCACAGGCGGCTCTCAGGGCGAAATGGAGCTCACTCGTCGAAGAACACAGCATCGAAGTGCCCCCGGAAGTTACCAGTAAGGTTACCAGCGTTGTCGGATGGTTGAAACAGGTTTGTGATTTTGAATTTTTACAAATCTTTTGATGAAAAATTTGTCACCTATTTTTCAATAATATAACTTTTTTTGCCCCATTCTTGACTAAATAGAGTTTCATTATTATATGAAACATATTGTTGGCCATGACCCCAGACACATTTTGCCTTGTAACTTGAATTAAATATGTAATATTTAGAATTTATCAGAGTGACTATTTTGAGAATCTAGAATTTGGCCTTCATACTTTCGCTGCCAAATGATCAAGGCTGCCACTTAGCCTAAAGCTATATCTATCCCACTAACGTACAAAAATATTTTTACATGGACACAGTTTTTTAACATTTCAATCGATTCAGTATCAGTGTCTTCAATTGACCTGTGTGAATTAGTTTTTTCTTTTAGAGTCAATATTAAAATACTCTGATATAGGCAATTGACATTTTGAGGTCATTAATTTCTTTTATCTAGAAGTATTACAAAGTATTATATGTACTAGAGTAAGTTTTTAACCCTTTTTTGGTAACCCTTTTTGCACCGTGTGCTCTTTGAATACCTTTTTATAACATGCTTTGATAGTTTTATTTTAAAATTTCTACAAGTATTCAACAATTAAAACTCTATAGACCTACTTCAAGTTGGCATCAAGAAAATTTCAGATATACCTTATAAATTGACCTTGAAGTAAATATTTACTTTGCAATTGATGTTTCAAATCTTATACCTGAAAATCATCATCTATTTAAAACAAAGTGGTTATTTTTTTCAAGAAACTACTATAAGATATCTCAGGACCATATTTTCCTGTTATTTATGTTGAAATTCAAATTTCGTAATTAAAAATTTCTACAAAATAATATAAATATCGATTACTTATGCTTAACATATTTTATCTATCTATTTATGTATCTTCATTTTATATAAATGTGAAAAATTGCTTTTATTCTAGACTAAATAAACAATTCTTGATGACTGCAAGCTATCTGAATTATACTAATTATTCATAATAATTTGAATGTTTATGTTTAATGGAATGTTTATTGGTGAATAATCAATTTGACCACGTGTGATGAAGGCTGGTGATAATTGTGACCTATCTATTATTCCCAGTACTTTGAATATAATCATATATAAATCTGTGATCTCAAGAGTTCTCTTATTGTTGNATATTATCGAGAGTGAGACTGAGTGGAAAAAAACGGAAAAAAATCTGCTGACTTAAGGTTGTTGAGATGCGTTGTCGTTGAGAGAAAGAGACTGGAAAAGCATATCAAGAGAGAGGGAGAAATGGAAACTAGTCAAAGAGAAAAAACTTTCAAAACGGAGACACTGCCACAAAAAATTCAACAGATATTAAATAAGATAGTTAAGAGAGACATATTCATCAAGAAAAATTATTTTGGGAGAGAAAAGATTTCTTTTGAAGAGTGCTTGAAGAAGTAAAGAAAGGCTATTAAAAAAAACTGTTATGATTGAAGAAAAACACTAATTAAAAAAAAAATTAAGTAAGGAATAGATGGTATACAGATTATCGATACAAAGAAAAAACCAGTTGAAGAGATGCTGTGATATGAAAGTCGAGATTCAAAAAGTATTGAACCGTGAGAGACAGAAACTTAAAAGGAAGAAAAAGTAATAGTGATGGGAGATGATGCAACAAAAGTGATTGTTATTATTATTAGGTTATCGAAACAGGTCATGTTGTGAAAACCGGAAAAAAATTTCAAAATGAATAGACTAAGTATGTGAGGTCACAAAAGAAAAAGGGAAAATGCATGCTTTCGTTTGAAATATTTTTCAAAAACTTCAACATATGCAAACTGAAAACTATGAAGAAAAAATTATGATTTGTTTTTTTTTTTTTTCATTCAGGTCGATGAAGGTGAATGTTCCGAATTGGGTCTGGCTGTCCAAAATCACTTCTCAGCGATAAATATTCGATTGGGCAAGACGAAAAAACATTCCAAACATAGGCAGTCTCTTGTAACGCTTTCTAGAAGGTAACGTTCACAGTAATTGTATATCAAGAAGATGTCTTTAATAAATTTTGTGTTGCGCAGGCACAGCTTGGTGAAGATGCTGGACAGTAGCGACCTGGACGGGCCTCCTCCTTTGCGAAGGGCGAGCACAATAGATACGACTTCGAACCAGTTGACGCACCATACTTCCAAGCTCACCCGCAGAGCCTCGTTGGACGATCTTGAACAGGAGTCGTGCCAGCTCACACCCAAAATAGACCATCGGATAATAGTTATAACTAACGAAGAGGTAAGAATATACAGTAGTGACACTATTTAGAGAGAGAAAAAGTCGTGAGTTCAGGGCCTGAAATTTCACCTTGCAGTATATTGTAGATGAACAGAATTTGAGCTTCCTTAGGCTTGTCACTCCAAAATCTTTTGTTTGAGATTTATATCATTTATGGTATGGATAAATGCTAATTTCTTTGAATGAGCAGTTTTTTAGAATCTGTTCTGAATCTTATCGAGGGTGCGGTTTGTCGGTTATGTATTTCCCTGTTACAAACTTTGTAGTTTCTTGGTGATTTCGAAACAATGTTTGCTTGTTACAAAAATGTATTGTCTTGTTAGTCACAAAACTCTTGTATTAAAAAATTGTGATGTTTGTTCATTTGAATTAATCGATTCGGTCGACCGGGGTTTTACTTTTTTGCCAAATTTAATGAGTATTACTGGACGTTTATCCCAACACTAAACCGTTATTTTTAACACTTCGACACGTGTTTCATTCTCCAAGTGGTCTTTTTCAAGAGGTGTTGAAAATAAAGGTTTGGTGTTGGAAGAAAACTCCATTAATATTCATTACTAAAACGGTGTGTTAGGAATCACACATTAAAAGCAAAGACCTCGTTAGTTCTTAGCCCGCATAAGTTTCGACTTCTGTGGGTTGTCTTTCGTGGGGGTTCAACAGCTGGTTAACGTAAAAACATATTCATAACTACACCAAAGCTTCGTAACTGTGCATCACAAGCCAATTTTATGTATGTTTCATAACGTTAATGAATTCTGAATTCCTAATGTTCGTTTTACAGAAAAGACACGAGCTGCTACTCCAGCGCCAGAGAATAGAGCAGGATTCGATCATCGAGGAGGTGGACGAGTGTTCACCACAAAACTGAGTGGCGTTTCGAAGCGAATTGAATCCTGAACTTTCTACGATTCTATTCCACTGTCGCTTTGTCGTTTGTGTTCGAAGTAGCTAGTAGGCGCCTTCAACTATTTTTGTAACAAGAACAAAACTGGCCTTCTGATGAACACCATTCTTCTGAAATCGATATGTCCGGGCGATTTTGGCTTTTAACATCCCAGGGTCATGACCAAATAACAGCGAATCTTGGTTCGGAAAGTTGTATCAAATTCTGCCACACAAAAAAAAAAAGAATTTGAAGTTCAACATTTGTATCTAATCTTGATATCACTTTGCTTGAAAATCTACAAGAAATAACCTTTGAAATTAAATCAAATTCAACGCCAATAAAGTTTAAGTAAGTTATTAAACTGTTTTCAATTGACAATAATTTGTATTCATTGAATGAACATTTCTCCTGAACTGAATACTTTTCTTGATGTGCATTTCGCCAAGTTGGTAGATGAAACGTGCATCTAAAATAGTATTTCAGTTCTGGTGATTGCTAAAAGTGCTTACTTTGGTTTTAATTTTATATTAATTCATGATTAGATAATATTGTTACTGTTTCTATTTGTACTCTGTGCTTCCTGGAAATGAAGATTATTATTGTTACAGATCTGGTCTCTTGATTTTTTCGTTTGATATAGTTTTCATTAAAAAAAAATTAAATTGATTCATTTAAGAGAATAATTTTTGAAAGGTAAAATTATTAAATTATTCTTCAACATTTTGGAATGATAAAATTAACCTGAACATACAAATAATACATTAAATCATATGTTGGAAAATGTTGACCTTTTTAGAGTTATTTTGAATTGTTGATTGGGATAATCGCCATTTTGTAGTCCACCCTTTAAAATAAAACTCGACAATAGGATGAAGTCGTAATGAATTATAAATGCTACAATTTCTATGTAATTTGTTACGGAATGATCAAGAATTGGTCACGACCCAGGCAATGTACAGAGTGATTTTAAATATGTTCCAATCATCTGTTATGATTGTATTTATTAATCGCCTGTATGATGGAAGCGCAAAAAAGGACCACCTCTTTTCTTAGACTAAATAGTTACCTATTAGTTGAATAGAGTTAGTATTGAATAGATCAAATTTTGAATGTTGCTGGAGATGCCTTCTCAAAGATTTGCCACAATTATCTGCAAAGACTGCGGTAATCAAATCACAAGATCGTATTTGATGAAGATTGTAGAAAAAAATTAATTTCACAAACTGGGAAGAAAGATTCATTTAGAATGTAATCGGATGAACATTTACCGTTTTTATTGAGAGAAATGGTGGCAATCTGTTCACAGGCTAATCAAGCTGAAATCAGCTTTCTGTGTGACTTTCTTTCACAGCCAGTGAATTCAAGTCAGGCTTCAGACATTGATTTCAAATCTCATGTAATTTTGCATAATCCAACAGTTTGATTGGCCTCTTATATAGTTCGTTCTTCCAATTAATGTATAATTGTAATAGAGAAATATCACACCAAACTTGTTTCGTGCACCAAATATATTAATATGAATTAAAATGAAGCTTATCGCAGAATTGCTTGAATGTTGTGAAACTTTGGGTACGATTTTGCGTTAATATTTTCAAGAGTAACAATTTTAGTCGTCTCAAGCTACGGGCTAAGCCATGTTGGTGTACATATTTATAGCTTTATTAAATTTGTTTTTGGATTATAGTTTTGCTGTGATATCTTACAACGTATCGTTGTTTTTTTGTTATTAATATTGTTGATAGAAAATGCAGTGATTTATATAGTTCAACAAAACTGAATACCTCAAAACATTTCTTGAATTATTTTCAACTTAAGCAGTTTTGTCATTTGTTGTGGAACTGAAAAAAAAGAATTTTGTGAAACTGGTTCAAGTTAAAAAACTAAGAGTGCACTCCTTAAGTGGGTCACTTCTTGAACTAACGAAACTCGGCATGAAATTCTCTGCAAGATAATTCTATATCAAATTGATGTTATTCTGGGTAGTATTCAAGAAAAATCTCATTATCAAAGAAACATTTCTTGATATTTAGAACTCTACTGTATAGAATTCAGAACTGGTGGAAAGGCCATTTAATTTCCTCTCATAAGTCAATAAAAAAACTACTGGTTTATTAAAAATTTGATTCTTTAGCAGAGGATTTCATCAAAGTTTTCTATAGAATTTTCCATTTCTGAAACTCATGAATGGAACATGTATGCCTGTAAATTCTCGTCTTAATTCGTTAGTTTTAATTGTGGCCATACTGCCCTGCAAATCAAGCTCATATCAACATTTTCATATGGAGCAAAGCTTGTTTCTATGAAAACATTCATCATTCAAAGTAACAGTTGAGGAGACATATTCAATACATGCAAACATCTCCAACAATCATCGTCATACAACTTTTTGATACGAAGTTGCAAAACATGTTCAAAATGATTTTTCACAAAATGTAGATATTTATGACCTTTTTGATTAACAGGGCAGTATAGATCTAGTCATTGTTTTGAAGTTGAATAAAAGTCTTTTAAGATTATCAAATTGCTTCATTTTCTCTACAGAACTTTAGATAATGAAAGTGGTGAGCAAATATTACGGAAATTGATCCTAGAGTGTTTAATCTGGTCGTGAAAAAAAGATTTTATGTTTTCCATAGTGAAATTCTGTAATTATGTGCTCATTTCTTTCTTTATGAAAAGTTTTGATGGTTTTGTCCATTTAATCCTTAGTAACTATTATCAATGAATACACCGAGAAACTTTGTGTTTAATTTATTTTGTAATACGTCAGCATCTATTGAAATGTCATCAAGCGAACATTTGAATGATATTATATTCGTTTTGGATGCATTTAGAGAGAGTAAATTTGCATTGCACCAGCTCTTCACCTTCTTCAAGTCGGATGATATTATTTTATTTAGCTCCATTGAGTTTTTTCTTTCCACAATATTGTAGTATCATCCGCGAATAGAGTGAAACTGCCAGATATGTTAATCATAGATATGTCATTCATATATAACAGAAACACAATAGGGCCTAACACAGAACCCTGTGGTACACCAGATTCAATGGCCCTGTTCTCCGAGAGTTCCGTTGTCCTCACCATTTGACTCCGACCTGAAAGGTACGATTCGAACCAAGTGTTCGTTACACCTCTACATCCATATTTATTCCTCAAACCACTCCATATTATGCATTATAGCGATTTCATTGTTACGAAAGTAATGGTAACACTGAATGTAAGTAAACACCTTGGCATGAGACACAAAAAGCTTTTTTATAAGCATTCAATTGGTAATCACATAGATATGCTCTTAAATATGAAAAATTAAAAAAAAAGTAACATATTATAAGAGAATCCATAAAAAAAGTACAAGATCCACAAATAATACACAAAAATGAAATCGTCAGAATATCACAAGCCACATGTATATTCCAGTCAATAATCTCTATTAAAATTTTAAACCCAGTAGTTTCCATAACCTCAAAATCCACGTTTTTTGAATCTCCATCAAAATTCCCGCCCAATGTCTTGATTCCAGAAAAATTTAGGAATTCCTCAATAATTGGCATCGCTGCTTATTAGTTGCCATTAGAATTTACTTAAAACAGTAGTTTGTATCTAGACTTTGTTTATGCCCAAAATTGTTGATTGACTCTAACCCTTCTTTTGTATGACATTTGTTTGTATCTAGATACTCCCCATATGTCCAAGACGGCTGGCGTCAATGTTTTGATTTGTTTTGCAAAATTGACTTATAAAATTATAGCAGGGATGGAACATTTGCCCCATAGAGCGTTTCATAACTATTTTAATCCACGCTCTACTCCGAACTTCTGTGATTTATTGGTTGGCCAACCTATCAATGAATAGCTCCACCTATTATCTTAAAATATAACTATTATAACAGGAATGAACATTGTCTTCAATTTATTTGTGGCGTCAATGTTTTGATCTGTTTTGCAAAATTGACTTATAAAATTATAGCAGGGATGGAACATATGCCCCATAGAGCGTTTCATAACTATTTTAATCCACGCTCTACTCCGAGCTTCCGTGATTTATTGGTTGGCCAACCTATCAATGAATAGCTCCACCTATTATCTTAAAATATAACTATTATAACAGGAATGAATATTGTCTTCAATTTATATTCCTCAATGAAGGAAAATGTAATAATAATAAATATGCTTTATTATCTAAAGGGAAACCCTTATTGACAAAGCTTTGGTGAACATTGCTTTTCTGAGAAAAACAATATTCCCAGAAAATTGAATTCCTAGGAATAAGACAAAAACAATTACATTTTCTCACTTCAGTAGGAAAATAAATATTAGATTTCATATTGTATCACCATGTAATTCGGATTTTAATGAAACCACATTGTATTTCTAGTAGGCTATATTTGTGACCAATGAATATTTTTCATTTGTAATAAAATTTCATCTATAAAAAGAGAAAAAATTTCAAATTCCAAAAACAGCTTTTAAAGAGAAGAAAAAAAAAAAAAAGAAATATATACATAATCGAATATTGTGTTGAATTTTCAAACATTGACACGTTTTATATTATTTTCTATGCTTGTTCTCTTATTTGTATTGTTATTCAACGCCTTTCATTCGTCTATTTTGTATTTTTTCAATTGCATTGAGTGAAATGAGTTTTGAACCCATGAATAAATGAATGAATAATAAAACATAGAGGAGCAGAAGAAAAAAACGCAGAATATTAAAATGAGAATATTTATTGACGCATCCTCATGCGTACATTCACAAACTGCAGAGACTATAAATCCTCATAAGTAGCTCATATAGAAATTATGAAAGTTTTATAAATTTACTGATCTGTTCGACACTCACAATTATGATTAAAAAGTATAACAACAAAAATAAAATCAGCTCAGTTTTGTTACTTTAGACGCAGAGCATTTTTGTATCATTTCCTTTCGTCTAATATTCAAAATGAACAAAATATGGCATATCGAACGTATGGAATTCCATAATGAAGCTATATTTATTCTAGACATATAATAATCTATATAAAAAATACTCTGCTCTAAAACAATTACATAAAAATAACCACTTTTCAAGGAAAACAATAGAAATTTAACAATATATTTCTCACGTTATATCTACAAGATTTAGTTATTATTATTATAATATATATTACATACTTTAGTCTAACGTCGGTGACACGACTGTATGATCATCCATACAGCAGCAGCAAAAGTTGCGTGTGTGTGTTTGGGTGGGGGAGATGTGTGGGTGTGTGTGAATCAACATCCAGAGCTAGTCCATTATCGTATGGGGAATACAAAATGATAAAACGAACTCGTCCAAGACGATACTTGGATTTGGAAAGGCCGCCTGCGGCTCGTAGGCGCTCTACGGAGTCTACAAGAAAAGAAGACCGGTAAAGGTTTGCTCGGAAACACTTCAACATCCACTTCCAACAGAACTCCAATATGAGATAAGAGGTCTTTCGGATTGACCGGCAAGTATACCCGATTCAACATCAAACGACTCATGTCCGCGAAGATAGTTGAAATGAATAGTTATGTCACTGAAATTGATTTCAAAATTACATGGCTACAGTCGATTGATTTACTCAAGATCAGTGTGAGAATATATTTCAGAAATGACCTCAGAATAAAAACGATTGACTTGAAAAGGGAATATTCTAAGGAGAAATTAGTAATTACGAAGCAGCTTTTTGGCTCTCTATTTCTTCATCACCATACAAACATTTAGTAGATTTCCTAGAAATACTATATTCATTTTTAAGGATACAATAACGACGTACGTTTCGGCATTTTTATCATCTTCAAGTTCTAAAATATAATAAATTATAAACACAGAAATGTACAATGAGTAACTTTACTTGCAAGTCAAACTTAGTGTTATCACTAAACATTTTAAATATTTACTGTACGTGAGGTTACTCATTGTACATTTCTGTGTTTGTAATTTATTAATATTTCTGAAACTGAAGAAGGCAAAAATACCGAAACGCATGTCGTTATTCTATCATTGAAACTGAATATATAGTATATAGTGTGTCGACCAAAACTACCAAGGTAATCTATTGAATGAAAGAAAACTGTCAGGATAACATAACTTAGTATTTTTTATACTGTGCAAAAAAAAAATGGAAACTTCAGAAGAAAGGAATTGAGTTCAAAATAAACCCTTTATAAATATATTTAGATCATGCATAGAAGTTTCTTTCAGATACAAACTAGAATGAAAAGTCCATCTGAAACAATTACCTTCATATGAACATTGGATTACAAGAAAATCAATGAAACAGATATCATTCGTAGGAACGCTACACAACGTAATATATGAAAAATATCGTGTTATATAGTATTTATGTGAATGATATCCGTTTAAATTCCATTACGAATGTTTGGAATATCAACTGACTAAGAAAAAAATGATTTCCAGATAATTCAATCCCATATCCTTGAAAGTACGAAGTTGTTTCGAATAAATTTTTTCCAGTTTGTATTTGAAAGAAACTAGCGTGCATGATCTTTCAGCAGAGACTTTTTACTGATAAAAATTTTCTTTTTTTTTTTAGAAAGTTTTCACATTTTTGTATAACGATAAAGAATTACGAATCCAAAGAGTCAAACTGAAAATACGGTATGTGGTATTTTATTAATAGTACAAGTAGTCCACGAAAAAAAACTGGCACTAAGACAGTATAACTACATCCTTTGATTTTTTATACAGTCTACAAAGAACAGAGTCTTTCAGAAACCTGCTATCTATTGTTTCACTATAAAGTACTGCCAAAATTGGAAAAACACTCAATTGGAGGATACACTTTCCTGACATTTTACAGGATTTATAAATTACAATCAAATTTCTAGTGGCTCTCAACGAAGTATTTTGAATGAATAGAAACACTAAAAAAAAACTATTGACAGATTACAACAAAGTAATATCACAAAGTATTTGGGAAAATATGAGATATTTTCAAACCATAATTAGATAGGTTGTCCATCGTAAGTGTGCCATTTTGATTGAATTTTTTTGTGAGAAAGTAAGGACTAGCTCTTTTCGAAAATAACATCTTTTTTGCTCGGATAGTCACGAGATTCGAGCGCTCGCCATGCAATATCTTAATGTTATTTCTATCTAAAACACAAATTGCTATACATTCTTATTGTAAGCCTTCACTCTAAGTTAACTGAGGAGTGCTAGCGGTGGTAGTGGTGACGGTAGTGGTGGTGTGGCACCATATTCTTGAAAGAAGTCCTTGGGGCTGTATAATTTGAGTTTGAGCTGTGATTCGTTTCGGTTTGGCAAGCACAAAATTCAAAATTTTCATAAAGAGGGTTTACCAGGGTTTGATATCAAGATGGAGTCTATTCATGATCGTCTCAAGGTAACAAGAGAGAAGACGTCCAAAACAGAGTACTGAAAATTTGTAAACAACTTGCAAAAACTGATTGTAATCTTTCGCAGAATGCGAGTCTGTTCTGTAGACTAAATTTGACGATTTAAAAGTGATACACAACATCTCTGTTGCAGATGAGAAAAAATATTCTGTTTGGAACATTGGCAATTAATTTCATTTAATGGATGATGGTTGACGTAACTGAACTAGAAAACAAAATGTGGAATTCAAGAGATTAAATAAATATTATTGTCATAATGGACAATACTAGATTCTGACAAATATGTTGGTTTTTTTTTTTGAGTAGATATGGAATAGTGAAGAATAAGAAAGAAGGTGTCATCCCAACTGCAACGTTTTCCTTTAGAAGATACAAAATATCTTCATCAAAATTGAACTGTTCTAGGAGATTAAGGTGTATAAAACATGGATGTGACTTAAATCACACACACTTTTATGGGTTTCAATGCCAAGTTGAAAATTGACCAAACACCCGTCGAAAGCAAGAAACCAACAAATCAAAACTTTAAAAAAATTAGCCGTAACTCCAGGTACGTCAAGTATCGATTCCGATAACTTCAAGAGGATTCGATACCGAAGCAAAGAAAATTCGCAAGCCTACCCTAAACTACGATAAGTCAAAGTGTCTTCTGTCTACATCGACACCTATAAATATATCTAACGATAAATACAAAGGAAATTAACGCGCGAACTATTTCTCTTTGGAGGCTTCAATTTAGAACGAAGTTTTCAGAAGAGGTGTCGCCCGGATTAGAAACATATATCTTATCACAACCAAAGAAAATAACGTTAAAAAACAAATTATACAGCCGTCTGTACAATAACTTCAGAGACATTCTCTCGATACGATCATACCGTCAGGTGAGGCATGCACAAAGTCTTTGTGGTTAATACTGTGTATTCGAGTCGACCATCGAACTGAAAGCTTCCAAATAAACTAGTAGCGCCAGAAAGATACGCAAATCCGAGTTTACTCAGTCATTTTTTCTGACAAAGAAAAAATACATCTACTCGGAGAAGGGAGCAATTCCCGCCAGAACACAAGTTATAACCACTTTTGACTCCATAAACTATATACAAATTTCATCAACATTTATTCTAAGCACTTACTCAAAACGCAGTCCTATCTTGTCAATGCCGTAATTCAAAATGTACATATCCAATTACTTCTTGGCCAACCTCCATCATCCCTCAGACGGGAGGAACACAAATTGTACCGTCACACCCGTTCGAACTGGATTATAACTGCCAAAATCCCACGGTAGATAGCGTTTTTGTTATTCAAGCGAAAGGATGAGATCCAAGCTGAAAGGAATTTTTCTGCACATGGTAATATCATTGGGTACTTTTGGATTCCTCAAATACATTGTAACTTGCTAATGGCAACACTTTTGAGACATTTTTATATTATTTTTTGTATGAAAACGTTTCAACAAAAATGACTTCCTGAACAATTGATTTTGAATAAATTTATATCCTCTATTACTTCTGTTGTAATTATTCCTTGAAAAGTATTTCTTCTTCCAAGTGTTCAAATGCATCGAGGATATCAGAAACAGCTTTAGACAAATGTCTCTCACTTATAATAATATACATCAATTTTAAAATTATCAAAACAGTAGTCAGTGCCAAAACATAGAAATTATGGTTCGTTGCAGCTTGGCCTCGCAAACAATAATTATGTAATAGTGAACAGTGAATTTACACAAAAAGGAAATTAGGAACCGATTTTTATTGAAGGGAAATTGACGAAGACCGAAGGCTAGATGAATGGCTGTTGTGTGTTGAGAGTAAGGTATGATGCAGTAGCCCGTTGATCAAGGCGAATGTTTATAAAAGCTCACTTGTGACGTTCTTAATTTTCTCGACCTAAAAGAAAAATCCAATCTTAACATCAGATTGTGCATCAGTATTGGGAAAAAATTATCAGACAAGGACAAGATAATTTGAAAAAAAACAAACTGAATGGGGTTTTCACATGAAAATGTTTACAGAGAGAAAAGAGTTTGACTTTATCAATAATTTTCACATGCTACATTTCTGCTGGTCGAATAATGACAAAAGTACTTGTTTGCATTTTCTTCATACTTATTGTGTTTATGACCTTTGACAGTTGGAAAGATAGATATCTAGAGAATGTACTCAAGTGAAATAAAAGAAAATTGAAAAGTTCACCCACAAAACTTGCTGCGTGATATAAACCTCTGAAAAGCCTCATAAGTCAGAAACAAACTACATGAATTTATAAATTTTGCCTATAAAATTAAATGTATATACTTCACTTATAATGGCTGACGTTTTGAAAAGAAGCCTTTTTTAATCTTAAAACCTAAAATCTACAAATTTTCTCTTGAGGCATTTTCTATCAAACGTTTTAGGAAAGAAACTTCTTACTGAAACATCAGTAATCGTAAAGAAAGCAATTGCATAGGCAAATTTTTTTCTTCCATTTAATTTTGCATACCTCAGCACAGTCAGAATATTAATAATACATTGATATCTTACAATAATTATCAATCAATTGCTTGCCTCCTTTCTTGTGAAGTGGGAATACTAGCGATATTTTCATTAGGTTTGGAGATGAGTTGCAAAATAAGTTATAATAGATATAATGGATTATTTTTGAAAGTTTTTAATAAGCTTTTAACATCAGATACATCTACTTTAGTCAGACACAAAACAAATTATCTAAGAACAATTCGTTCAGGCTAGTCTCAACTCCCTACACAGTAGGTTAATGGACTGACACCTCTCAGAAAACAACTACTCCCCTGGCTAATACCACGAAGGGCGTTGGATTATATCCGACAGGTGTCAGTGCAGGATTCTTCACTGAAGTTATTCCTGCATATGCTGTTGGAGATACAACTGCCGCAATAGATTTTCAATTATTGGACTTGCAGACCGGTTTCGAGCTGTTTGGCCACTCGTCAGTGCAAGGTAGTGTATATCATCAACATAAAGTCGATGATTTTCGATAATTGAAAATCGAATATCCGTCAGAGTATCATTCCTCGAACTAAGCTGAAGCATACAACAAACAACAGGTTTGTCGTCGCCCCATCTGCCTGTGAATGAAGTAACCAACTGCATATCCGAAATTTGCCCAATTCCTCGTATAAGGAAAGAAAACTTTCACATAAATTATCTAAGAGCAATTCGTTCAGGCCAGTCTCAATTCCCTAACTTCTGTGAAGAATCCTGCACTGACGCCTGTCGGATATAATCCAACGCCCTTCGTGGTATTAGCCAGGGGAGTAGTTGTTTTCTGATAGGTGTCAGTCCATTAACCTACTGTGTAGGGAGTTGAGACTGGCCTGAACGAATTGTTCTTTTAGTTAATTTGATTTATAACCAGTCTTCAAGTATGCCCACTGACTATATATGAAAACAAAACACAAATGCCATTTACTGAGCAAAAAGTTACTGACTAATTAGACTCTTCAGACACTTATATACGCAAAAACTTTTTTGTTTGACTTTTACTACACTTGAAAAAATCAAGAAATAGTTACTCTTTCACAAAAATAGTTTTCCAAAGAATACTTGTTTGTGAAAATTCGCCATTTATTCAAATATTGTGAATATCTCACTCACTCAATAACCACTACTCAATATTGATAAAATTTATTTAGAATTTCATATAAATTTTGAAATCTCTTTTTCTCTTTGCAAAATTCAGAGTTTTCCAAACATACAACACCCTGTAACTAACAGTTTAAAATATATATCGCAATCGCACGTTGAAAAGACGAGAGTGGAAGGATTTTTCCCCACAATTTTATCAAAATCAGTGTTTTGAGAGTGTTTTCAAAAGAAATCAACGAAGAGTAATAATTACTTGGTTCCACCGCGTTGAATTGTGCCCGGTTGTTCATCCGATTATCGGTCAACAAATAGTGGAAAGAAGATCCCATCTTGATTTCCTTTCTTTTTCTTACTTTTTATCGCCTACCTCACCAGAGCGAGAGATAAAGACGAAAGGAGAGATTGCAGATAAAAAGGGTGAGTTTTATATACAGTTCGCATCGCATCTGAATAATTATTATTTATTTACGCAATTATCAATCGCACGAACAGAAGGTAAATGACACATTTCAATATAAAAAATCCTACTTCTTTGTATCAGTAGATTATTTTCAATACTGTATGGGGTTATTTTCTTAAAAATGTTTAGATTTCTGAAGATTTTCAACACATCTTAAAACTTTCAATTCGACAGGAAAAAGAAGTTTCAATGATTCTATTTGTTAATCATTGATAGATAGTAGGAATAATAGTGGCCCTAAATTTGATCCCTGAGGTAAGTCGGAAGTATCAGTTATCAAGTCTGATTCATAACCATTATATAACTTTTTGAAACCAATTTAACAGTGAAGAAAAAAAGGGAAGAATTGTTGGTTCAATGTAAAAATTAATTCCATCTGAAATATCAATAATTCCTTTACAATTTGTGTGAAATATTAGGTATTTGAAATAATAGACGCATAACCCGATTGAGACTTTCGTAATCAGATTCCAGTGTATTTGTCTTTTTAAAGATTTTGGATGATTCTCTTAACACAAACATTAGCTATATCGGTTTACCTAATCAACAATAATAATCAACATTGAACTTTTTAATATTCATTAAAGTTGCTAAGCTGCTGTATCATAAAAACGAACAATTTGTAAATAAAATCAAGCTACATTTTTGGGGCACTCTACAACAATGGACATTGAATTTGTTGACTAGTGTATCACAAAATAAAAAATCACTTGCTAACCTGGAAATGAGGACTGGAAACGCACTTGGAGATCTGCCTGAATAGAGGCTCTTGGATCCTGGTGAACTGAGAGGGCTCCATAACATCGAGCACTTCCTCGATCTCCCCAAGGAACATCACCTCCTTCTGGCTACACGTCTTGGGCCAGTACTTGAGCAGGCCGCGGATGACGGGCTCCGTGAGCGTCGGGTCCTTCTCCAAGAACTGGACGACGCAATAGGCCAGCTGCGCATGGTACAGTGACAAACACTTGACCTTGTGCAGCGGAATCAGGACCTTGACCAGGAACTGCTTGTGCTCCGCCTTCAGCGGCAGCGCGAACCCGTTTATTATCGAACCTAGGATCTCGAGGAGCTCGCCCACTCCATTGAAATGTTCAGTCTCGTACACAAACCTAAAATGCAAACAAAAACGTTCAAGGGCCACACCACACTGGAAATAATCTAAAGTTTAATTTTTTGTTGCATCCACACACATATTCTTAATATAACTGTGATAGAGAGTGCTTGTTTTTTCACTCAACCATTGCCTATACAAATTATGTTCTAGTTTTTCAGAAAGATTTACCAAAATTCTATAATGGTGAATAATATGGACCTAAATTCAACGAGATGTCACTGAAAACAAAAAAAGATGACACTGAAATCTCTGGCAAGAATAAATCCTGAATAAGAACATTTCTCAATCATCGGAAATGCAATACTTTTTTCAATGCGCGTTTCACCAACCAAATAGCATCTTCAGGAGATAATGAAAACTAATTCCAAACTCTGAAACTGGTCTCTTAAACAGACCTTTAATCATTTTGGCTGAAATATTTTTTGAAAAAACCAAATTTTTGAAGTACACTTGTCACTCACCTAAGAAATATATTGTTAATTTGTTTTCGAATGAAGGCCCTGAGGCCGAGGAATTTGCCATAGATGCGGTGCAATACTGTCTTGAGGAAGTCCCTTTCTCGTGGATCTTCCGAGTCGAAGAGCTCGAGCAGCTGCAAAACAAACTTCTGGTCGATGACCCGCTTCCCGATGGTCGGCTGGAAGTCGGAGCTCTCCAGGAAGCGCAAGAAGAATTCATAGACCAGCTGGAGGTGGGGCCAGCTGGCCTCCAGGGTCGGGTCGTCTTCTTCTGGGTCAAAGTCGGGGTTCTCGCTGGGGGGCAACGTGCGGAACAGATTCGCCGATATCTGAGAACGAAACTCAAAATAAAATACTCAAAAACGTTGTTCGGACACATAGAACCGTTCAACAAAATAATGGTCTGGATAATTATATGACTACCAGTTTGATAACCAAGTAAGTAGTGGACTATTGAAATATATTGCCATAAATGGTCTCAAAAAGGAATATAGCACAAAGTTTAGCCCGACCCTTTAAAAAAATGTGTTAGAATTTGCAATGTTAAATAATTTTGGCCTTCTAGTAGAGAAGAAAATGTCTCCACAAACTATCCATATCAATTTTACCCTATCACGGAATGCCAAGTAGTCGATTGTCTTAATGAAATAAAAAATAAGACCTTTTGTAAAAAACATAAGATCTGATACATATATTATGAATCAGTCACTTATACAAGGGTTCTTTCTTTCCTGATAATTTTGAGACAGCATTAGTAATTCTTCTGCCCAAAAAAAGTAACACCAACGAGTCTTCATTATTCACTTCAATAAATTAACAATTAACAAAGTGCAAACTAGTTATATTTTATTCTCTGCATCCATAGTATCAAGTTTTATTAAAAGTATTATGTGATTGACTATATCGATTACAAAAAAATTATAATATTCTCGATTGCCAGTTTGCTAATGATAATTCTCACATCCAATTATTAAATAGTCCCATTCTAAAATTGATATTGTCTTAATAATTGAGCACTGAAACTGAAAATAGGAAAATACTACCATATATGCCACTGCTACTGTCTATGTAAACTTCAGGCAAATAAAATCTGGACCAGAATCTTTGCAAACTTTTGAATATCGGATCAAACTTTAAATTAAATTCAAGTTTTTGGTACCACCATTAATAAATTATAAGACATCATCATGTTCCTTTTCAAAACCTCATCTAATCTTTGAATCATCAACTTAAATAATTCAATTTAAGAAGATAGGACATTCTAGAAAAATGTAACATGATAAATGTATAAATTATTTGAAAATTTTAAAAAACTTACAATAAACACCTCCCAAAAGATAAATAAAAAATCAAAATAAAATTCTGCTAAATGATATGACAGCGAGTAAAAGGCTTTTACAAAGCATTACTATTTCATTTCACATCTATGTTGTAAAGTTTGATTTCATTGAAACTAAATGTTCAATAGAGTACTAATGAATATTGAGATTACAGCAATCTATTGAGCAAATAAAGCAATTTCATATATTCTTTCAGAACATCAACGTAAATACTAACCAATTACTGAAAAACAACCCAACAAAATTATTGAAAAAAAATACTACTGAAAATAAAATCATAAATGAACCCAATTGTCAATTTATCAAAGGTCTATATGAAAATGATTGAAACAACAAAAATCTTCAGTACTTTTTCTGCTACTAATTATTTATCATCATTATTATACTCCAAATTGTATTTTTTTTTGTAATCTACACGCATGCAAAGATGGGTTTGAAATACAAAAGTGCATCAAATAATTAGCAACAATAAAAATACATAAACTCTGCTCTCTATGGGGTTGAATATAAACATTTGATAAATTGTAAAGTTTCATACATCAATCACTTTCAACTTCCTATTTTACCTGATTCCAGTTATTTGAGGCAAACCTCAGCAATAAACTTATACATGTAGATTTGAATAGATTTTTTTTATGCTTGGAAATTGCCAACCATTACTTTTGGCATATTTAATTTGCAACAAATCGGAACTGAATGTATATGTTCAATGATTCACCTCAACCTCTAAATTCTGTTTACTCAAATAGATCATGTTGAATTAGCGACTAGTGTATAATTTATATGTTTGACTTTTATATTTGATGGTGTTCATAAACAACATTTTTCCAAAAAATTCATTGGATCAATACGGAGACTTGAGATGCAAAAAAAAATTCAACACAGTCATTGCTGCAATTTCAAATTCGATGAATAGATGTAAGAAAAAAGAATCAAAATTTATTTTTGTGCCAGTTATGATATTTACCAATCAATAAGCACTCAATCTGATTGAAAAAGCTTCTGTATTTTTGTACTTTTTACTTCTCTATGCCAGATGTGATGAAATATTTGGGTTTCAAAATTGAATTTTACATTGTTGCAAAGTTAACTTGAATTGCAACAAGTATTAACATTCACTAAACTGTTCATTCATAATTATTGTACAATTGAAAATGAGTTCAATTTATGAAAATCTTATTAGCGATATTTCTGTTTGTAACAAATCTTTGTTAGGTTAGTTAGGTGGGAAATCCTAAATTTTGAAATAATCTGTATTTTTCAATTGTTCTATATGAATAATTTATGTCAAGTTGGTTATTTTCTCATATTCCTAATCTGATGGTTGTAACATAAAAACAATTTGTAAATTGGCAAGATTTATACTTGTGGATCAATATAAAATGTTATTGACTAGATATGTTTTTTCAAACGAATACTCCATAATGTACTGAATTATTATGGAGGTGCCTTTGTTTCACAAAACTGCCTTTCAAATTTTCCATTCTGAGCTAGTATTATATGTAACCTTTGAAAATATATTCTCCATCCTGCGTCTTATCACAAATATCAATATTTGTTGATGCTGATATATAAACAATTCCAACGATAACAATTTTGTGTACAACATTCTTTACCATTCAAGTGACAGCCGATTGTATCCACAAAAGTGTTTCAATATGGCAAACAGAAAGACTGAATTAAAAACGTACCATTTTAATAATTTCCGGGTAGACAGGCTCGGTGAGGACTCCTCTGCCTCCGGTTATGTAATCGACCAGTTCGTTGAGAGTGCATCTCTTTACTTCCTTGCCCTTCAGATCAGCTACAGGGTCCATGAAATCAAAAGCTACGCAACACTGCCTCAGTTTTCGAATGAACAATTCTTCCTGTTCAGACGCTGGCACATCTGCAAATCAAACAGCAAAACTATTCAGTTTTTGAAATCAATAATGTGCTTCCAATAACTTAGAATGGACTTGAATATAAAGTTAAATTTTATTTGTAAAACGGACTTTCTGAGAATCCTTACTTGAGCAAAGTCTCTTATTAAAGTTGATGTACACTTAACAATCACAAAAAAATTATATCATAACACATTTTTACACATTGGATATCTGAAAATGTAACATTCACCATTGTTGTAATGTTGTCATTTGATTAGTTAGATGAATGCTTGTCTAATATTTTTTTCAAAACCTGTAACATTTCTGGGCAAAATTAGTAACATGCCCCTCAGATGATTTATTTAAAAAAAACCTATAAATACCATAACTAACTTCTCAAATAACATTCAGTAGATTCAACACAATAAACTAATTAAAAATATTCACAGGTTTTCAACAAATTCAGTAGATATGTTTGATCACAGCCTATATTCTGTAATGAACCGTATTCTTTCAAAAACATCAACTGCACTAATGTAAAAGAGAGTAAGTTTTAGTGTATCTCAACTCTGGTTGGAAGAATTAGATCTTAGTTCAACAATAAGATTTCCAACTTGAAAAAAAAGACGAAATTACATATATAATTAGAATTGCACTAGGTCAAGGCGTCAGCACTAACCTTTGAGAAGAGGCAGCGGCTGGAGTTCGACGTCTTGTGAGTTGCGATATCTGGAACTGCCCTGTGACTTTTTGGTCTTCTTTTTGAGCGAGCGCTTCGCAAAAGGATCAATTCTATCGACGAAGGCCGTCGTCGACATTGCGGTGTCAAGAAGTCTTCAGTGGTAACAATAACAACAAGCAAATACTATTTACAAAGGGACAGCAAGAGGGTCGCTCTGCATTTCACTCCTAGAAATATTTCGTCAAATCGCGCACATTTTTAAACGCATCATTTAAGTATATTTATAGTCCTTTATATTTATGAATGATTGCTAAATATCAATGACAGCCACAAGGTGTGTGTATGCTTAAAATTCGGAGCACGCCCAACGATCAAGTCCTAAATTTTCGGAAAATTTGTCGATTTCCGACGCGATCCCGGCAATCGGGCTGCAAATTACGAAATTCCCGATAAAATCACTTAGAAATGTTCGATACGTAGCGAAGGCAGGTCGGTATCACCAAACTGCCAAGCGAGTCCAGTATTTTCACCCGCCATCAGCTGGTTATTTCCACACAAAATGCTTCAGACTAACTGATTTTTACACTCTCTGTTTTTGTTTGCACATCTTACACACGTCAAACTATTCGATAAAAGTATTTATTTTACCGTACGTGGTGTAATTTTCGGGGAAAAAATTATTTTTATAATAATTTTTGCACACAACCGATTCGATGCCGTAAATACCTTGGGCTGAAAATAGATGGGAGGTACGGGCTAGTCAACTAACAAACTGAATCGCACTTTTATTGGTTCTTTCTTGGAAAAAAATACACTGAATATATACATTTACAATTATTTTCTGCTAGGATACAAACAAAATACTGTAAAAATTTATATTTTGCAACAAATTAAAAACTCAATTGACCAGTTTTTAATCTTCAACAATAAATCAGCCTATCGCGAGCTAGCTAACAAATGGGTGAACCAATCAAAAACAGTTATCGGTAAAACGACTTAGAATTTGGCATATGACAGATGTACGGGGTGGTAACCAAAATTACTTACACAACATAACCTATACTTTTTATTTACAGAAAAAATAAAAGTATTCCTCAAAAGTCAATATGTCTTGTCCCGGTTTGTATTGTGGCAGAGTTCTCTTACCCGATGGCTCACTTAGTGATTGTGGACCCTGTCCCAGGGGATACCGTCGAAATGAGTCTTTCGTTTGTGTAGAATGCAGTGATATCCCATCTTTATACGACTGGTTATATTTGGGATTCATGGTTTTATTGGTATTGGTTCTACATTGGTTCTTTATAGATATGGTATCCGTTAGAAGAAGGTAAGTATGAATTGCATTAAATTCGGGTAGATTCATGCGCCAATCTTGAGTCGTAAGACCCAGGCTTCAAGTTGTAAGACTTCATGTTTACTATTTGCTGAAAGCTTACAACTCGTGCACATATATATTATGAGTAGATATATCAATGCTCGTGCATGAATGTTGCCACCGAAAATCAATGATCCAACTGCTCAGGACTCATTGCGACTTATGACTGGTACATAAATCCCTTTCCCCATCATAACGGATGAAACAGTCATTACTTTCAGTTTCAACAAAGACATTATAAGTCTTCACGCAGTGGCATTTGCTGAAGTTTTGCTAGCCTCCATCCTCACTCTCTTGATATCTCACCCAATGGGATCCTTCTATATATATAATTGTAAGGTTCGAAGTATAAAAGACTGGTATACTCTTTTCCACAATCCTACACCCAACTATGAGAAAAAGGTACACTGTACTCAAGAGGCTGTATATCCACTGTAAGTATGTTAGTATCTACAAATGTTGAAAATTATCTCTTCAAAAATCTTACAATAAATTTCATTCTCCAACAATGAATCATTTGCCTCGAACAAAATTTTCTACTTTGACTCTTTCAATTGTTTTTTATTAAAAAAAAATGTGTTGATATATTATTTATTTGGAAAATATTATATTTAGCAACACTACTTCTTAGTTGTGAAGAAAGGCAACAAAGCACTATTTTCGGGCCGGTTCTGCATGAAGTATAAAAATGGAAAGAAAATAAAATTTCATCATATATTGTTTTTGTTGAGAAGGTGATAAACATTCAAATTTAGTGTTTTTCGACATTTAGAACTTCATTTCGTGCTTCTTCAGGGCTCTACAATGCATATCCTCAAATACATGCGCCAAATTGCAATATATAATGGCATGTATATCGTTTCCTTAAAAAAATATTTTACTGTAGAGGCCTGATGAAGGACGAAATGAAGCTCGAAACCCCAGAAAGAACTAAATTGATCATCTTCGAAAATTTTTGAGCCGTTTTCCAACGAAAACAACATTTGATTGAGTTGAAGAACAAGTATGTGGGCTCTCCAAAAACAAAAATTGAACTCTGCATCTTACTTTCAAACAATGTTTTTTTGCCCAAAATTGTACTTTATCTCTTGTAGATTGTAAGTAATAAAGACGATTATCAATATTACAATCATTTTTAAATTAGTTATATCTGGCTTCTCTGCATATATCATATTCAAAGAGATAAAGGTATGTTCATTTCAATTTTAGATATACTACCGTTTTTTTGTTCTTCGGATTATGTTTGGTCCTAATGCTGATCATTCGACCTTGGGCGTGTCGAAAATTCTTGCCACGTCAGAGTAAAATGTCCATTTATGCTGCCATGTATTTTATACCCATACTTGTCCTTATACATGCCCTAATAGGAGGATTGCTTTGTAAGTATTTATTTTGTAGGTGAAAGTAAAACAGTTCATCATGTCACATTAATCTATTCTATCCTGAGGACCAATTAAATAATCTAGGATGAAATAGTGAACTTTCAGATAGTTTTTTTTTTAATTAAAATGACTTTTTTTGTAATAAAGAATGGCAGATATATTACTAATCCTAAAATTCAGAAAAAAAGTACACAAATAAATCTTTGCATAAACACCATTATTTTTAACCAGCGGTCAAACAGATGGATAAATTATCCTCGAACAGATATTTATTTCTGGAGAATTTATCTTATTGAAGTTGGGATGATTCTGCAACGTTACATGGCTGACGGACTGCCATGATGCTTCTTAGGTGGTTGTGGGAGTTATTAACATTACGCACCCAGAACACGAGTCTAATGACCAAAGTAGTCGAGGCCGTTGACAAAAAAACATGTCTGTGGTAATTACCGAACAATATCTTGATAGCATAACCGAACCACAGAACACCGTAACTAGGGTGTTCTGTGACCGATCGTCCATAGTTGACGTGTGTTGGCAACACTGAATTTGTAATTTTTTCGGATGCGTTCCGTTATTGCATTGAATAAAAAAATATATAGATATATTTTTATATTCATTAATTCACATTATTATCCACTGTTATTATATCCGCTCAATGTTATTCACATTCAGCAATTTATTACAATTATCAAACTGCTGCAAAAAAAAAACAATAGATATTTAGTAAATTAGGTTAGATTCCATAGAAAAAGTAACTGTTTCCTGTTTGGAAATAACATTTCCTTTAGAGACCGAAAACGTACCAC